TCTCTGAGATAAATGCTGGATGTATTAGAACAGTTAAACAGTAAATCTTTAACAAAAATAAGTAAATAAGATGCTTTGGTCTCCACAGATCTGCCTCTTCAACTAGTGGCATTCCTGATTATTTCTAAGAGCTTTTATTTCATAGTAGACTTGGGTCCAGCATTCCATTGGCTCTGACACTTCCCTCTCTTCTCTCCAAAGCAGACCATCCGAGAGCTGTTTGATATGCCCCTGGAAGAGCCATCTGGCTCATCTGTACCCTCTGCCCCTGAAGAGGAGGAAGAGACTGTAGCCAGCAAGCAGACCCATATTCTGGAGCAGGTGAGAAAAGAGCAGGCACTCTCTAGAGTAGAGCTAATAGTTAAGGTGTGGGCTGTCTGGGGTGAAAGAACATTTCTGCTGCTTCCCAAATGACTGTTGGCCTTTAGGAGTTGTGAGTAGATTGCTTATTGGCTCATAAGATTTCATAGAAGAAAGGATTTGGAATCCTCAGTTACTTGTTTGAATTCTAATAGTACCTGTTACTAGCTGTGTTTGTTAAGCCAAGTCTGCTTCATCTTCTGAGCCTGGAATCTTGCTTTTCACCTTTCTAAACTGCTAATGGGAAGGAAGTAACTGAGGATGAAATGGAATAGTGGAAGTAAGAAGTGCTTTGTGTGTGGTGTGACCTCTTGTTTTCCAGATACTGATTAATACATAATAGAATCATTTGGGGAACCTTTTGGCTTTTTATTTTAATTTGTTTTAAGTAGGCTGCATGGCCAACGTGGGGCTCGATGAACACACGACCTTGAGATTAAGAGTCATTTGCTCTACTGACTGAGCCAGCCAGGTGACCCTAAAGAGCTTTTTAAAGGATTGATTCCTAGGAGCCCATCTGAGAATCTACTGAGTTGTGATTTGGCAGGGGCAAAGGCTGGGCATTTGTATTTTTTCAGAGGTAGATGTTGGGAACTATAAGGTACAGTATGAAGGTGCTTTTCCCTGCACACACTCTAGGTTGTGTCCCTCGGTGACTTCAGTGTGTGCTTTCTGGCTGTTCATCACAGGGGAAAAAACCAGAGGTGGTTAGTCTGTTATCAAGAGGTATCTCAGTGCAAAAAGGAGTTAGGGATTTTTTGTAATTACAGCTTTCTGGGAGTGCTCTCTTAAGGAGACAGAAGGCGGACTTGAATGGAAAAGGAAGCGGAGCTAGAGGTTTTTAAAACAGATGCTTTCTCACTAGTGGGCTTCCAAGTGAGATCTAGTTTATCCTATGTGGAATACTGCATTGCTTTGATAACTTCGAGGGCTCAGAAGAGAGTTGAGTTCAGTTATATACCTGGTTTGGTATAAATGTGGCCTCAGATTTTTGTCTGAACCAAACCACAGGTTGTAGAATTCTTTAATTCTCGTGGTTTTTCTTCCCACACCTTTGCAGGCACTGTGTCGGGCAGAGGATGAAGAGGATATCCGTGCAGCCACCCAGGCCAAGGCCGAACAGGTGGCTGAGCTTGCAGAATTCAATGAGAATGATGGGTTTCCTGCTGGTGAGGGAGAGGAGGCCAGCCGGCCTGGGGCTGAGGATGAAGAGATGTCCCGAGCTGAGCAAGAAATCGCTGCCCTTGTAGAACAGGTCAGTGTTGGACCCACTAGTTCTCAACCTCACCCTTCACAGCTTCTTCCTCTGGGCCTTATGATCCTCCTCCTGTCTTCTCTGGTGAAAATAAGGATATTGGGCCCCGGTTATCAAGTCCCTATGTTGTTGATTACCACTGTTCCTTCCCACAGCTGACCCCCATTGAGCGCTACGCCATGAAATTCCTGGAAGCTTCACTGGAGGAGGTGAGCCGAGAGGAGCTCAAGCAAGCAGAAGTGAGTATTTCTAGGAGGTGGGGATGGAAATGAGAAGTGTCTGCTTTCTACCCACTCCCGACCCTGCTTGCCTCCCTCTGACCGCCTGCCGTTTGGGCTCTCTTGTTGGTAGGAACAAGTGGAAGCTGCCCGCAAGGATCTGGACCAAGCCAAGGAGGAGGTGTTCCGCCTACCCCAAGAGGAGGAGGAGGGGCCAGGGGCTGGGGATGAGGTTTCCTGTGGGACTGGTGGAGGCAGTCACCGGCGCAGTAAGAAGGCCAAGGCCCCTGAAAGGCCAGGGACTCGCGTCAGTGAGCGTCTTCGTGGAGCCCGGGCTGAGACTCAAGGGGCAAACCACACTCCTGTCACATCCACCCATCATACCCGCAGCACTTCCACAACCCCACGCTGCAGCCCTGCCAGGGAGAGAGTTCCCCGGCCAGCACCTAGGCCTCGACCCACTCCAGCTTCAGCTCCTGCTGTAATTCCTGCCCCAATCCCCGTTCCAATTCCTGCCCCGATCCCCATTTCAGCCCCAAATCCAATAACCATGCTTCCTGTTCATATCTTGCCTTCTCCCCCACTGCCTCCTTCACAGATTCCTCCCTCTTGTTCTTCTGCCTGTACCCCTCCTCCTGCCTGTACCCCTCCACCAGCTCATACGCCACCTCCCACCCAAACTTCTCTCTCAACTCCTTCCTCCCCTCTCCTGCTTGGTCTACCTTCTGTGCCCGTTTCTCCCCCAGTCACCAACCTCTCCTTGGGCTTGGGGCCTGAGACAGAGCTGTGTGCACAAGCATTGGCATCTACCGAGTCCCCGGAGCTGGCTGATTTGGCCAGTTCCGAGACGTCCCCGCTTACTCTTGTGCCCCCTAAGGATCTGTTGCCAGTTGCTGTTGAGATCCTGCCTATATCAGAGAAGAACCTTTCTCTCGCCTCTTCTGCACCTAGCCCAACCCTGGAGGCTGACAGCGTCCCCAACGGTCAAGAGCAGGAAGTGCCAGAGCCTGCTGAGGGGACCGTCCTCACAGTGCTGCCTGACGGTGAGGAGGTGCCCTCGTGTCTGAGTGAGAGCAATGGGCTGGATCTCCCACCTTCAGGAGCATCTGATGAGCTACTTCCGGAGCCAGTGGAGGCTGACAAGAGCTCAGAAGAGCTGATGGAGGCCCAGACCCCAACCTCCAGCCCAGAGAAGCCACAGGAACTTGTTTCACCAGAGGTCGCAGCCCCATCAACCTCATCCTCTGCCACCTCCTCACCTGAGAGTCCTTCACCTGCCCGGCCCCCTCGGCGTCGCACCAGTGCTGATGTAGAAATAAGGGGTCAGGGGGCTGGTCGGCCAGGGCAGCCTCCAGGCCCCAAAGTGCTCCGCAAGCTGCCGGGACGGCTGGTGACCGTGGTTGAGGAGAAGGAATTGGTGAGGCGACGGCGACAGCAGCGGGGAACTGCCAGCACCCTAGTGCCTGGGGTGTCTGAGACTGGTGCCAGCCCGGGAAGCCCATCTGCCCGCAGCATGTCGGGGCCAGAATCTTCACCTCCCGCCAGTGGGCCCTGTGAAGCTGCTCCCCCATCCACACTGCCCACCCCAACCCAGCAGCCCTTCATAGCTCGCCGTCGCATTGAGCTGGGGGTGACTGGTGGGGGCAGCCCAGAGAATGGAGACGGGGCACTGCTTGCCATCACCCCTCCAGCTGTGAAACGTCGGAGGGGGAGGCCCCCCAAGAAGAACAGGTCTCCAGCAGATGTTGGGCGAGGGGTGGATGAGGTACCTTCATCCACCTCTAAGGGAAAAACCAACGGGGCTGACCCAGTCCCTAGGGCTGAGACCCTTATTGTGGCGGAGCCTGTCCTGGGACCCCAGCTTAGTCCTGGGCCCCAGCCTCTTGGAGCCCAGCCAATTCACAGACCAGAGCCCATCATCCTATCACCTGTGGAGAAAAGAAGGCGTGGGCGGCCCCCTAAGGCACGAGATTTGCCCATTCCTGGGACCATTTCCTCTCCAGGGGATGGCAACTTAGAGAGCCGGACACAGCCACTCCCGCTACCACCTCCCCTGCCACCACTCCCACCACTCCTAGCCTGTCCCACTGCTACTGTCGCCAACACTGTCACCAATCTCACCATTTCAACATCCCCACCCAAGCGGAAGCGGGGCCGACCTCCCAAGAATCCACCATCACCTCGGCCCAGCCAGCTCCCTGTCTTGGACCGTGACAGCTCTTCTGTCCTTGAGAGCTGTGGATTGGGGAGGCGGCGGCAACCCCAGGGCCAGGGGGAGAGTGAGGGCAGTTCCTCTGACGAGGACGGAAGCCGCCCCCTCACCCGCCTGGCCCGCTTGCGGCTTGAAGCGGAGGGAATGCGGGGACGAAAGAGCGAAGGGTCCATGGTGGTGGCTGTAATTCAGGATGACTTGGATTTAGCAGATAGTGGGCCAGGCGGGTTAGAATTGACACCTCCTGTGGTCTCGCTAGCTCCAAAACTGCGCTCCACCCGCCTGCGTCCAGGGTCTCTAGTCCCCCCACTAGAGACTGAGAAGGTGCCTCGCAAACGGGCAGGGGCCCCAGTTGGCGGGGGTCCTGGGCTGGCAAAGCGGGGCCGCCTACAGCCTCCAAGTCCCCTGGGACCTGAGGGTTCAGTAGAGGAGTCTGAGGCTGAAGCCTCAGGTGAGGAGGAGGAAGGGGATGGGACCCCACGACGCCGGCCTGGCCCCCGCCGACTTGGTGGGGCCACCAACCAAGGGGACCAGCGCATTCTGCGTAGCAGTGCCCCTCCCCATCTGGCTGGCCCTACCATTAGTCACAGAGGCCGCAAGGCCAAGACGTGAGTGGGCTGCCCCTCCACCTAGGCTTTCCGCCATGGCCCCTCTCCCTCCACAACCAGGCCTGACTCTGTTAACCACTACTTGAAGTCTTGAGGGGGAAAGCCTCCTGGGAGTCATAGGGGCCCTCTCCCTTCTTTCCACCAAAGTAGGGGGTAGGCAACTGGTTGTCATGGAAATGGGGCTCTTCACATACCCCCTTCCCTTCCACCCCACATGGCTGGGCAGTGTTAAGGGTGGCAAGATAGTCTCTGTCCCCACCCCCTTGTACTTGATTCCCCAGCTATCTTTCACAGCCCCCCGCCCTTAGGGGAAGGGAGAGGGGCTTCTCTCTACCATGAGTTTTTTTTTTTTTTTCTTTTTTTTTTAAGAAGAAAAAATAATAAACTTAGTTTCTGTATGAGCATCCGCGTAAGGAGGCTTCTGATTTTCTGGTCTGGTGGAGGGTTGGGTGGGAACTTGGGCATCATTTTCTTCCTCTCGTTCTTGCCAAAACCCTAGTACCTGATATCTAACCCAGAATTATGTGTCTTTGAGGCAGAAATCCCGCAAGAGGAGGAAAGATTGGCAAATCTGATCTGGTAGGGTGCCTTTCCCTAAATTTTCAGTTTTAAGTCACTCCAACTCATACTTTTTCTCTCCTCCTATTCCCTTAGTTCCTGGACTTTCACTCAGAGCTCTCTGATGCCTCAGACTTTTCCCTGCTTTCACCCCTCTTGTTCAGGTGCTTTCACTCCTTTTCCAGAAGGCAGGCATCCTACCTTCAGTCGCTCCATCCCGCACTCTTTGCTTTCCTCCACCTAGCCAAACTAGTTTGAGTCAGCCACGCCCCTTTCTGAGCTCCTGGGGCCTTTTGGGTGGTGGCTGGCCACCCAACCCCACCCCCGGGCTTGGCTTGGAGACCTGAGTCAGCTCCATCTCCACCCAAGCCAAATCAAACCAGAGGCAGGAGCCGAAACTCGCAGTCCCTCGAGGCCCATAGCCAGGTAAGAGCCCCTGTTCGTTTTTTATATTTTCTTTGGTCTCACCTCCCTAAACCCTCTCCTTGCATTCTCCCCCTAATGACTGTGTCTATGTTCACCACATCGTCAGTTCTTTCCTCATATCCCCTGTCCTGCAGCTTTGTGGCAGAGAGTCTTCGTGCTCTGCTTATCTTGCTTCCTGTCACTCTAACCCTTGTTGCTTGTGTTCAGAGAACTGCAAATGGCTCCATTTTGTATAGCATGTAGGGGGATGGTTGGAGATGAGGGTGGAAAGGTGGTTTGATGCCACAGCTCAGAGGAGCTGAGAAGTTAGGGAGATGAGAGATGATTAAGCAGGGCATCATTATGCAGGTTTCTGTGTGGGTTATGAGGTCATGTTGTTACTCTGAATATATTGGGTGGCCTGGGTTAAAATGGAGAAAAGAGGTAGCAGGGAGTCAGCATAGCAAAGGAGGCCCAATTTGGGGAGGTATGGTTTTACTGATGTTCAGCTTCCTCAGCTAAGAAGAGAGCTTAGATGGGTCCTTTCCCTCTGCTTTCTCCCATCTCTGTGTTCTCATCAACTCTGTTTTCACATGAGACAGCTGCTGTGCTTGAAGTGGGGTAGCAGGGCTCAGGGTGCCATTTCATGAGCCCTCCTTAATATTCACGAGCAGCTTTTGAGGGACTTCAGAGAATGTTAAGACCCTTTGAAATACAGTTTAAAATCACTGATTTGTGGAGTCTGATTCCTGCCAGCTTTTGAGATTCTGTGTTTCTCCTGCTTGTCAGTGTGCACCTGTCATTGTGTTTTTCCCTACTTGTCAAAACAGTTAAGTAATACAGATAATGCTACGTTTGTGCCGGCTTGCCTTTAAACACTCAGAATCTTAGGCTGAGAATAAAGGATTCCGGCCGAACGTTTCCTCTCTTGGTCTGTGAGTCATGAGAGGAATTCCCCAGTAAGGCAGCATTCCTGAGAGTTGGGCTAGGTCACAAGGACACATCAGAGAGAGGGGCGGAGTCTGACCGACCCAGGCCAATGGCTCAGTTGTTGGGCTTACAAGTACCTTGACTGTCGCCCACAGGTGATGGAGGACGAGGAGAAGGCAGTGGACACCTTGGTGAGCAACACGGAAGCTGCTCATCCTGCATCCCCCGTCCGCTGCTGCCGGCTCCGCCTCCGCTGCTTGGCGGCTGCTAGCATTATCTGTGGCTGCTCTTGCCTGGGAGTCGTGGCCCTGGTGTTTGCCATCAAGGTGAGGAGCGCAATTCCCGTGGGAGCAGAGGGGTGGCTGTAGTTAGGTGATGGATTAGTGTATTTGATCTATGTGCACTGATCACACAGCTGCTAAGTACTTGTCACAGTTTGGCTCTGGGCCTGGTGTCAGAAATAAGACATGCTTCTGGCCCTCAGAGTGCCCACAGTCTAATGAAAGAGAGCGCTGTGAACATGGGTAATTAATGCAATGTGGCTCATCAGTATTGTGATGGAGGAAACACAAGGTATTCTGGAAGCAAGGGAGGATATATATGTGTGATTACATACCTGTGTATGTAGAGTAGGTGACAGGAAAGTAATCTTAAAGGATGAGTGACTAAGGGTTGAAAGGGCATTCCAGGTAAAGGGAGCAGTGTGTACAAAGGCCTGGGCTCTTCGTTCCCCATGACTGGACCAGTGAGGAATGGTGACAGATGAAGCCCAAGGGCCCAGATTCCCAAGGGTCTCCCAATGCTGTGCTTCAAGTTTAAACTTTATCTTGAAAGTACTGGGCGGAGGGGGGCCGGTGCACCTGGGTGGCTCAGTGGGTTAAGCCTCTGCCTTTGGCTCAGGTCATGATCTCAGGGTCCTGGGATCAAGCCCTGAATTGGGCTCTCTGCTCAGTGGGGAGCCTGTTTCCTCCTCTCTCTCTGCCTGCCTCTCTGCCTACTTATGATCTCTGTCAAATAAATAAATAAAATATTTTTAAAAAGAAAGTACTGGGGAGTACTTTAAAGAGTTTTTGCAGAGGAGAGTGACATGGTCAGGTTTGTGTTCTAAGGCCTGCATGGAGATTGGGTTGGAAGGGGCAGGACTGGAGGCAGCTGAGCAGTGATTAGAGCAGTCTATAGCAGTTGGGGAGAAGCTGTGGGGTTTTTGAGAGGGCTCCACCATTTCCAAACACCTGACCAAAACTGCATGTTTACTTTTTTTTTTTAAAGATTTTATTTATTTATTTGACAGAGACAGCAAGAGAGGGAATACAAGCAGGGGGAGTGGGAGAGGGAGAAGCAGGCTTCCCACTGAGCAGGGAGCCCGAGGTGGGGCTGGATCCCAGGACTCTGGGATCATGACCTGAGCCAAAGGCAGGCGCTTAACGACTGAGCCATCCAGGCGCCCCCACATGCACCTTTTGAAAGGCCACACAGGCTAACTTAAATGTCACATGGGAATTTTCTCAATCCTGGTTTTATTTTAATAATCAGAAACTGTATTCTTATGATCTTGAGACTTTCTGGCTTCATCAGATCAAAATCATAAAAAGAATTCTTAATAAAACGATGAGGCCCATTGGGCTAATGAGAAGGGGGTGGTGTTTGGCTGGACGGGAGGGAAAGACTCCAAGATATCTCTCGGTTTCTTGCCAAGGATTCCAAATTCTGAATGAATGTGGGATGAGTAGAAAAGGATTGGGGATAAAAGGTTTGAAAAGTACTTTCCCATATGTGATCTTGTGAGCTAACAATGGCTACTTGGAAAAGTACACAGAGCTGAGTAGAAACCTTATTTTGTAGATGAGGCATGAGAAATAGACATTGGAAAGGGAAAAGACATTTTATTTCAGGGGGTTTGGGTGTCAGGTTTTGAGCCATTACAAGGATGGAGGATTGGTGTGGGGCAGTGGGCACTTTGGGGAAGAAGCAGGGGAAGAACCTAACCAAAAACCTGCCCCCGCAGGCGGAAGAGCGGCATAAGGCAGGCCGGTTGGAGGAGGCAGTGCACTGGGAGGCCCGGGCCCGGAACTTCATCCTGGCCAGCTTTACTGTCTGGTTTGCTGTCCTCATTCTGGGCCCCCTGCTTCTGTGGCTGCTCTCCTATGCCATCGCCCAGGCTGAGTGACCCTGGGTGGCCTCTGCTGAGAGTCAGCAAGACCTCCTGGATCCTGCAGTGCGGCATTGCTAGCGTCTGAGGCCAGCAGTGGTCCTTCCTGGCTGGAAGGATGATGCCTCTCTCAAAAGGCTTTGGAAGAGCTCTTCTAGACCTTTCTAAAAGGGGGCAGCAGCTTAAAACTGTTGAGGGGAGGCCAGCCTGCTCTGTTCTTTCAGTGCCCACCATCCCCTATTTCCCCCAGCCTGCTACATCCTAGGGGCCTCGACCCAGAGGTGGGGTTGAAGACCAGGCCTGATTTTATTAGAGTTTGTTTTGTAATAAAAATCTTTTTTAGTGGTGAAATGCTCCTGTCTAATTGTTGTTCCCCTACTTCCCCTGGCCCTTGGCGAGAGCCAGACCGACATCTGACTGATGGCAAAAGTCTGCATTTTCCCTTACTTAGGAGCTGCAAGAGGGTTTTTCTTCTTTTTTCCTTCTTCTGGAAGTTTCCCTTCTTGGAAAGACCCCAGCTTCTCCCTTGCACATCAACAGAGAGCCCCTGTGGCCAGATAAGACGAGGAGCAGCTGCTCCTGTATTTATGGAGTGCTTCCTATATTCCAAGCTGTGTTCTTAAGCACTTTCTGTTACTTAACTCCTTCACCCCTCACAGCCACTCAGGAAGAGTGTTTTCACTCATTTCATTTTATAGTTGAGGAAGCCGGCACCCAAGGTCATACAGCTAGTGAGATTCTGAGCTGGCATTGAACTCAGAGGCTTTGGTTCCAGAGTTGAGAGAGGAATGAAAGGGATGGCGGCAGCAGGTGAATTTCTGCCCTGGATGTGAAACTCTGTAGGATTATCATGAATTTTTATATCCTTTATCTTGGGCTCTCCCGGTAATATTTTAAACACATTTTACACCTGATCTTAGCCAAAAGGCCGAGAAACGATTAAACATATTTCAAATTGTGAAGCATATCATATATGTAGGAAAATATCCAAAAGGAATACATAGCTTTTAAGTTAACACAAAGCCAACATCTGAAAACCATCATTCAGTCAAGAAATGGAACATTGAGAGCACTCCAAAACCTCCTTTAGACCCTCCCAATCACTACTCCTTCCTTTCTTCCCACGGATACCTAGCATTCTGACTTCTAACAGTGGAGTTTAGTTTTGCCTGCATTTGAACACTATATAAATGGAGTCCTATGTATTCTTTTTATGTTTGACTTCTATGACTTAATATTGTTGGTGAGATTCATCAATATTCGGTGTCGCTGTCGTTGTCATCAGACCGTAGAGTACCCCATTACATGACTTTGTTAACAGCTTAGCCGTTATCTGTGGGTGAACTTTTGGGATGATTCCATTTGGGGGATATTATGAATCTTGCTACTGTGGACATTCTTACACATGTCTCTTGGAGTACATGTGCCCTGGGAACTGAACTTTTGGGCTATTTCACCATAATTCAGAGACCAGCAGAGCACCTAAAGGAATTAAAGGTATTTGTTGCACACTAAAGAGAGAGGTTTAAAGGGGAAGATGGTTGTCTTCAGTGTTCCAAAGTGCTCCAGGAAAGAAAAGTGAAGAGTATCCATTGCTGGTCCCAGAGGTTAGAGTTACAACACTGGGTAGAAGCCATACCTAGGGCAGTGGCTCTCAATCAGCTTCATAATAGAACCACTTGGGGAGCTTTAAAAAGTACTTATGCCTGGACTTCAGCCCTACAGATGTCGATGGAATCGGTGTAAAATGCTGCCTGCCTGGGCACATTTTAGAGAGATTTGTTTATTTATTTATTTATTTTTAGGTCTTTCTATTTTTAAACTCAATTTTGAAAAAATTTCAAACCTACTGAACAATAAAAGAATAGTACAGTGAACTCATGTGTGCTCTTCACCTAGGTTTAAAATTTTTCACGTTTGTTTTACCATGTTTCACATTTACCACGTGTTTCACCACATTTGTTTTAAGATCTTTCTAAATACACATATTGTTGGGGCGCCTGGGTGGCTCAGTGGGTTAAAGCCTCTGCCTTCGGCTCAGGTCATGATTCCAGGGTTCTGGGATCGAGCCCTGAATCAGGCTCTCTGCTCAGCAGGGAGCCTGCTCCCCACTCTCTCTGCCTGTCTCCTCTGCCTACTTGTGATCTCTGTCTGTCGAATAAATAAATAAAATCTTTTAAAAAAATAAATACACATGTTGTTATTGCGGAGCCATTTGAGAATAAGCGGAAGGCCCTTCATTCCTAAATTCTTTTTTTTTTTTTAATTTTACTTATTTGACAGATCACAAGCAGGCAGAGAGAGAGGAAGGGAAGCAGGCTCCCTGCCAAGCAGAGAGCCCGACGCGGGGCTCGATCCCAGGACCCTGAGATCATGACCGGAGCCGAAGGCAGAGGCCTTAACCCACTGAGCCACCCAGGCGCCCCATTCCTAAATTCTTATTTACAGTTTTTAGTGTCAGTATGGTCTCAGATTGTTTTTTAGTTCAATTTGTTTTATCCATTACTGTCATCCTTCTTAAAATACTTGGTTGGGGTATAATTTACATGAAGTAAAGTGCACAGATCTTAAGTGTGTGGCTTGGTGAATGTTTCATATAAATCCATCTGTATAATCACCACCTAGATGAATAGAACATTTCTAGCACATTAGAAGGCTCCCTCGTGGCCCTCTCCGTCTCATTATTCTTTTTGTTTCTGATTTTGACCAGTGGAAATTGCATCAGCCTGGTTCTTTTGTCCTGATAAGTCCCCACATTTCTTCACTTGCTTTCTGGCACAAATTATTCCAGGCTCATCTTACACTTTCTCTGCTCCAGCCTGGGAATTGGTCATTTCTCCCAAGGAATCCTGGTTCCTTCAACTGGGACCTGTCACGTTGAAATCAGTATCTAGACTAGTGGTGCTCATTCTCCTGAGATGTGACTGCTTCTAGGCCCTTTCAGAGGTTAAAGCTAGAAAATATCTATTTTTAAATCTATGTTTAAAATTATACCTCCAGGGGCGACTGGGTGGCTCAGTGGGTTAAGCCTCTGCCTTCAGCTCAGGTCATGATCCCAGGGTCCTAGGATCGAGCCCCACATCAGGCTCTCCGCTCGGCAGGGACCCTGCTTCCTCCTCTCTCTCTGCCCGCCTCTCTGCCTACTTGTGATCTCTGTCAAATAAATAAAATCTTTAAAAATAAATAAATAAAATTATACCTCCAATTTCAATCAGTCATAAGATTCTTTCTCTCCCTTTCCCATCTCAAATTCCATAGTCCCATATTAAGAACCTTGGCTGCCAAATACATCAATATGTTTATTCATTTGCAAATATATATAAATATAAAAATATATTCACTTTCTGAATATTTCTGAATAATCCTATTATAATAACAATAAGCCTACTAAGTAAAGCTCAAGTTTTCTTTGCAATTATTTCGTCTTTAGATTGGTGGTATAAAGTCAAAATACTCTGTTAAAAAGTTACTTGGATTCGTTTTTCTCTTATATGGTTGTGATCCCAAAGTGACATTTCTAAGATAGTTGTTAGAAGTAAATGAATTCATTCTGTGCCTCTTTTGCTGGAACAGGATCTCCACAAGGGTAAGGACTCCCTCCGCCCCCGCCTTCCCCCTCCCGCCTCCCCCCCCGTCCCGCCGCTGATAGTTTAGCGTTTAGACGCTCGGCAAATATTTATTGAATGAGTAGGTGACTGCCAGGGTTGAGCTGTGCACTGAAAAGTCTTAAGAAGTAAGTCGCTCCTGGCAATATCTCAACTCGCCAGGCTTAGAACAGAGTGTGATACTCCCCAAGGCTTATGGGAGGCGGTGGTAGAAGACTGGGAAAATGTATAACCCCAGACGGTGAGCATGAGAGCTTTGGAGGTATTCAAGAATCCGAGCGGCCGGAGGACTAAGAAGCCACTTCTGGTTGACGTGCCGTGGTTCGTCCAAGTCCACACCAGGTGGCAAGTTGGGGATCCAAGCTGCGAGCTCCGAGAGTTTTAAGAGCTGGAGGCGGCCCCTGAAAGCATACACTTTGGACCAGGCGGCCAATTTTAAAAAGAGCGGATTTGGACAGTGATGCTAGGAAAGGAATGAGGGAGTCATGCCCAAGTCAGCGAACGTGAGGCGCAGCAAGTCCCGCGTCCTACATACCCAGAAGCCACGCCTTCCGGGTAAACCTAACTTCCGGGTCCCGTTCCCGGCCTCCAACCCCACTAGACAACAAGCACTCCGCCCCCGTCATCCCTTGCAGATGCTGTGCGCTAATTGGCTGCATCTGAAGCCCCGCCCCAACGTCTCTGCCTTTGGTAACTCCGAACTCTAAGGCCCGCGCCAACCTCGAGACTCTCCGCTTCCTATTGGACTGCAAATTTCCAATCGGAATTGTTTTTGAACCACAGTTTTCAAGCGCCGCTGGCCATTGGCGGACAGGATGGGGGCGGGGCTTGGGATCGTTGCCGGCGCCGCCCGGGTGTAAGGTAAGGGACGAGAGGCGAACCCCGCGATAGAGCGGCTTCGCGTCGACCCTGGCTTCTCTCTCCTCCCCCGCGGGTGAGCCTGCGCGAGACCCCGCGCCCCCTCCCAGTGCCCGCCCAAGTGCGCCTGCGCAGCAACAGCCACCTTCCAGTGTGCCCCTTCCCTTTTTCCTCCGCACCTTTTCCCTTCCCTCCCCCGCCCCCCTCCCTGCCCTGACACCCCTCCCGCCCCCAGGCCCTTTCGTGGGGTCTCCCCAGCCCTGATCCTTCCCCCACCCCGTCCCCATCCCCGAAGATCCTGGCGCCCCAGCCGCAAGGGCTGCGCCTCCGCGAGCCGCGATGTGCGTCCTCCCAGAGCCTGTGGGCCTCACTGCCCTCACTGTCTTCCGTTTCCCCCACACAGGCCCCCACCACCTTCAGAATGACACTGGACGTGGGGCCGGAGGATGAGCTGCCCGACTGGGCCGCGGCCAAGGAGTTTTACCAGAAGTACGACCCTAAGGACGTCATTGGCAGGTGAGGCTTAAGCCAGGGAAACAGAGGTCCGGAGAGGTCGGGCCCTGGCCAGAACACACGGTTCCATCTGAGGGCTGGATAATTCTTTTTTTTTTTTTTTTTTTTTTTGAGATTATTTATTTATTTATTTATTTGACAGAGAGAGAGAGAGAGAGAGGAGATCACAAGTAGGCGGGGGGGTGGGGGCGGGGAGCAGGCTCCCTGCCAAGTGGAGAGCCGGATGCGGGACTCCATCTTCGGACCCTGAGATCATGACCTGAGCCTTAGGCAGAGGCTTAACCCACTGAGCTACCCAGGCGCCCCTGTATAGTTCTAAATGGGAACGAACAGTGGTTAGTGGAGGACCATTTGGGGACTTAAGTCTTTGGGTCAATCCCCATTTCTTTCACTCATTTATGTGTTCAACAGACGTAGTTAAAGCAACGAAGGTCTGCCAGACACAAAGCTAAACACAGGGAGTATAGAAGAGATTTATGCCTTGGAGAAGAAGTAACTGAAAGAGACACATGAGCATTCAAGTGGTATCAGGTTGTGGGATGGGGCTCAAAACCACAGCTTTTCACAAGGGGTGATCTTTGGGTCTTGAAGGATGAGTAGTGGTTCAGCATGCAGAAAATAGAAGGAAGGCCTCACCTGTAGAGACAGTGACAGGTACACTTATTCATCCAAGGTTTCCTAAGCACGTACAGTGTGCTAGGCGCACTGTGTGAGGCACTGGGGATACAAGTCTCACATGTTTTCTGTTCTCCTGGAGTTTGTATTCCAGTGGTAGAGAGAGACAGTAAACACAAAAACAAGACAACAGTCATCATCTGCTCAGGTGAGGGGATGAGAGTAATTAACGGTGCTGATGCTTGAAGGATGGGCATGAACAGGAGGATATATTTGGGGCAGAGGGAACAGCACATACAAAGGCACAGGCAAGAAAAGGCCTATTCTAAAGCAATAGGCAGATGATCATGGTGACTGGGATGTAGTAAGTGGGACAAGGTGGAGGAGATGAAGTTGGAGAGGTAAATAGAGGCCTTATGCCATGATAAAGAATTTCTATTTTATTCTAGTGAAACTGATGGTTTCAAACAGGGTAGTTAAATTAACATGGTCTCATTTATATTTCTGTGATCTGGGGGCTATAGGAACTCAGCCTTTCTGTGCCTCAGTTTTGCCATTTAGATTGGGAATAAAAATAGACCCTACCTTGTAGGTTGCTGTGAGGATGGGAAGAATTAATATGATAGTCTTAGAACACTTCTGGCACATAGTAAGTGCTCAACATGAGTATGTTACTACATTTAAAAAAGATCATTCTGACTCTTGTGTATAAAATGGATAGGAGGGGGACAAGAATGGATGTGTGGAGACCAGTTAGGAAGCTGTCGATTGATTCAGGCAAGAGATGGTGGTGGTTTAGATTTGAATGGTGGTGGTAGAGATGGGGAGAAGTGTGTCGCGGCCGGCACGACAAATCGACCAGGGTCGAGAGAGTAAGAGGATGCTGAAAAGAAATTAAGAGACAAAGAGATGGGGGCAGGAGGAGCACCAAGGAGGATGTCCAATAGTGCCAAGTTTATTCAAGGCAGCAAGGCATTATATAGCTAACAGAAACAATCATAAGAAAGTATCTATTTTTAGTTGATTACTAAAGAGTTTGCAACATGCACAGAAAATCCTTCAAGCTTTCCCATTATCTGCCAAGCACCAATAGCAGACCCTCCAGCGCCAGATGTACTGACTTCAAGGCTACTCAAGACATAGTTTATGTAAGCACAGCACAGTCTTACAATGGTGTAGTCTATAGCCCGTGCAAGGACAGCAAGGACCAGCCAAGAATTTCTGACCCCGACCAAATCGTCTCTGACTAGCAAACATGTGGGAAGTCACGTAGGCGAGCGCACAACACATAGCACAGACCCTTTCTCAGTGCTACTCGACTTTATCGACCTAAGCCTTTTGTTCGGCTATTCAGCCATTAAAGGAGGCACAAGTCAAGGGCCTGGTTTGGTTCTCGTCTCAAGCCTTATCGTGGCCTCCCACAGAAGTGGGTAGATTGAGGTGATGATTTGAAGAGAGACTGATACAGTTTCCTGAGAGACCAGATATGGGCCATAAGAAGAAGAAAAGTAAATAGGAATAATGTCTAAGGTTTGGGTTTGAGTGCCTGAGTACCATTTTCTGAAATGAGGAAGGCCAAGGAGGATCGGATTGCCGGGAGGGCCGAGCAAGTCAAGAGTTCAGCTTTGGAAATGCGAAGTTTGAGATATCCAGCTGGAGCTGTCAAGTGGGTACATGACCCTGCAGCTCGAGATAGAGCTGTGATAGAGCAATCAGTTTGGGAGGCAGTAGCATATGCATAGTAGCTGGCGAGAAAATATATGGAAAGAAGTGAAAGGGGCCAAGCTCAGACCCTGGGGCATGTCACCATTAAGGAGTTAGAAAAGGAGGAGTCAGCAAGGGAGACTAAGGAGATAGCATCTTTGAGTTAGAAATAAAAACAGGAATAGAATGTGCTTCTAGAAAGCTGGCATGGTCTGCCGTGATCAGTGCTTCTGAAGCCAGGAAAGCAGAAAGGGCTGACTGTTAGATTTGTTCAGACTTCTTTCAGATATCACATGCAGATGTTAAAGAGGCCTTTGGGATCAGGAATTCTGGAAAGGAATCAAAACTTGCGGCAGTGCAGTGGGAGCCATTTGCACAACTGGTACTTAAATCGCCCAGGACAGGACGGTCATCAGGGGGAAAGGGTATCTGGAAAAGAAGAGAGCTGACATCCAAGTCCTAAACTGATGTGGGGTTTCAGGACCAGGTAAAGGAGGATTCACTGAAGCTAGGAGAGCCCTTAGAGAAGAACAATGGTTCCACTGCCATGGGGTGCAGAGAGATCAGTTTCGGAGAAAGCAGGTCAGGGAATAGGGTTCGTTAGCCTCTCATTCCAGCATTACTGTAGCAGCAGCATCTCTGGTCTCTGTCTTTTCCCTGTGTTTCTCCTGCACAGTAAATTACCTGTACACTCTCACTAAATGAGTTCCCAGAGTGCCAGTTTCTTCATGTATGAAATCTTCATGTCTGAAGTCTTCATGTCTGAAGCTTTATTTATTTTTTTTTTAAAGATTTTATTTATTTGACAGACAGAGATCACAAGTAGGCAGAGCAGCAGGCAGAGAGAGAAGAGGAAGCAGGCTCCCCGCCAAGCAGAGAGCCCGATGCGGGGCCCGATCCCAGGACCCTAGGACCATGACGCAAGCGAAAGCAGAGGCTTTAACCCTCTGAGCCACCCAGGCGCCCCATGTCTGAAGCTTTAAAAGAGCTTGCTGCATTCTAGAAATTGGTGATAAGTTCTAAGTCACTGAAACAAAGATTGAATAGCAGGGACATAGCCAAAAATGAGGCTGCAAAGAAACTGAGACCATTTGGTGAAGGCCTTGAATGACAGGTGAAGGAACTGGGATTTTACTTCTATCTTGCAGGTAATAGGGAGGCAGTATGGAGAGAATACAGTGTTGAGTGTCCTCCATAGTTAACTGTATAAGGTTGAAATTATTAGGGCTCACTTAAAAAGAGCACAGTTGTTCTAGGGGTCCCACTGAGGAATGAGGGTATGCTTAGAGCTTAGTTGAGAATTTAAGCTGGAAAGGTTTTAAGCAGGAATGACATAACTGGGGCGGTCATTCTGGAAGCAGTGTGGTGGATGGGTTGCGTGGCCGAGGTTGGCAGCGGGGAGATTAGTGAGGAGGCCGTTATGGCTGTGGGGGTGGAGTACTAGGAAGCAGATTTGAGAAACACACCAGAGGGAGTGGACTGGTTGGATGTGGTAGATTGTGAAAGAAAGGGGAATACCAAGAACTCTACTAAGATTTCTAGTTTGGGAGTCTGATTGAATGGCATTACTGTTAATGGGGGAATGAAAACTGTCAAGTGGCAAAGAGTAAGATAGTAGGAAGTGGTGAGCACTGTAGCAGCTAGAAGGTTCTTGTCCCACTTAAGATGGGAATTCAGATTTGAAAAGAACAGCTCACTGACCAAACATAACACATCTCTGGGCTGTGTTTGGCTGGAGGGTCAGTGGTTTAGATCTCTTGATGGAAACAGAGATGTGGGTGACAGGCATTCTAAGCAAAAGGAATTATGTAAGAGCAAAGGAAGCCATGAAGGGCAGCCAGGGAACGAGCACAGGAAATGTGGTGTGAGGTCCGATCTTAGAGAGATTCATACTTAGCCTGAGGTACTTGTAGGATCGTAAGGAATTGGCGACAGATTCCAAGCCAGGAAATACATGTCTAGGACTTTCTCTTCACCATGCCAAATGGATTTTTCTTCTTCTACCTCATGGCATTTGACACCTCTTCAAGTTGGCGTTGTCCACACTTCAGAGCTCGCAAAATGGAAGTCCAGAGACCTGATGTCAGTGGGTCACTTGGAGGTTAGTTAGTGGCACATTTGGGACCTACACCAAGGTCTCCTGATTCACAACTTTGTTCTCCAGTCAATGGTCTGCTGTTTATTTGGAGCCTCTTACACTTGAGGTATTGTAGGAGAACTTTGGGATTCAGAAGGGGTAATCAAGGGAAGTGTGAGTAAAATTTGGAGGGAGCCTTAGATCATTTCTTCTTGCTTTCTCCTTGTGGGGTTCCGGGAGAAGGGGCAGGTTCTGGGGCTCAGTGTGGAAAGGACCTCCCTAAGCTTCTCCATGCAGGGAGTGGCTGAGGCTGGATTCGAACCCAGCACCCCGCCTGCCTTCCCTGTGAGCTTTGTGTTGCATCTTGCTGGGTACTCACATGGCTTGCTGAGGCTACTGTGAAGCTGCCGTAGGCCAGGGTGAACCGCAGTAGGCTGCCTTATTGTCCAGATGGGGCTTCAGAATACGGTGCAGCGGGTACAAGGATGGCGAGGCTCCACTCTGTGTGGAAATGAGAGAGCAGGAGGTCCTGACGCGTGTGCGGTCTGACTCTGGCAGAGGAGTGAGCTCTGTGGTGCGCCGTTGTGTTCATCGAGCCACTGGCCATGAGTTTGCGGTGAAGATCATGGAGGTGACAGCTGAGCGGCTGAGTCCTGAACAGCTAGAGGAGGTGCGAGAAGCCACGCGGCGAGAGACGCACATCCTTCGCCAGGTCGCCGGCCACCCCCACATCAGTGAGGCTGCGTTCCCCGCTCCCATTAGCCGACAGCCACCTCCTGCCGGCCCTGCCCACAGCCCATTCCCCCCAGCACTGCCTCCACACCTCTGCTCCCTTCATCATGGCTCCGTTCCACCTCACAGTGTGGCCAGCCTTTGGGTCCCTACTGCCTCCTTTTGGTTCTCCTTCCTTCCCAATAACAGCCCACTGCACCTTGGGGTGGAACGCCCCTTTAACTTGCACCTGCTCCTTTCTATCTCCGTATCTCTGCCTTTCTGCCTCTTTCCCAGTCACTCTCATCGATTCCTACGAGTCTTCTAGCTTCATGTTCCTGGTGTTTGACCTGTGAGTATCTCCCTGCCCTGATCTGAGAAGCATCCTCCTCCCCTCCATGCATGGCCCCAGCCTGACAACACAGTGGGCTAAGATTACCCTGCTCACACTTCCCATGGGCCCGTAGCCCAGGCCCCTCTCCCTGGGTGCCCTGAGGAGACGAGTTCTTCCAGAGTGCTCATGACCAGCCAGTTAAAAAGGGTTTCCGTGACCCCCCAGGCACATTGTCCCAGTCCCCCATGGTTATAAGATCAGCAGGGAAGACTGAAGAGCTGAATACTTCTTGACAGATTCTTGCTCCCCTATCTCTTGCTGTGAACACCCTACTTGGTGTTTGTCTCTGCCCATTGGTTCATTTCCTGGGTAGTCTGAATCCAAGTGTGAGATGTTCTACAATATAGTGTAAACCAGTGCAAAGGCACTTCAGAAGAGTGGTTTGAATAGCAAGTAATTAAGAGAGACCCCTGGAAAAATTTCACAAAGCCTTCATACAGAAATGACCCTCTGCAAAAGGGGCGGGGGAGGTAGGAAGTGTCTGTCCCCTCGCCATGCAGCTTTGCAGAACAGTTGCATGCCCCCAGGCAACCCCTGACTTCGAGGGTCGACACAGAGTTGCAGTAAGAAACTTGGTTTTTGAAAGACAAGATAAAAATAAGATCCTGCCCATCTTTTTTGCCATTATTACCTGTGAAGTTTTGGTCCATGATCTAAATAGATTCACTTTAGAGGGTCCTCTTTGAATATAATGAGTCTCATATAATGAGGACCTCCCATAAATTGCGGCTGCAAGAAGGTTCTTATTCTTGCTAGCACAGCAGCCATGGCATGGCGCATGTATTTTGACTGGCAACCCCTGGGCCAAACTGCCCCTGGCATCCAGTTCACTCTTAGGGCACTCTGATCGCTCAAAAAAAAACCAAAGAGGACTCTCTCTCCCCTGGCCTCTTCCATGGTATTTTCTATGAGCACTGGCTTATTTTTCCCAGCCCCCATGTAAGGTACACCCACCTCCCAACCCCTCCTGTCCCTTAGGATGCGGAAGGGAGAGCTGTTTGACTACCTCACAGAGAAGGTGGCCCTCTCCGAAAAGGAAACCAGGTAATGACTGAGCCTGTGGCCCGTGGGGTGACCAGGGGGCAGGGCGGGGTAGGGAGAAGCAGACGAGGAGACTGTGCCTTCCCCAGGTCCATCATGAGGTCTCTGCTGGAAGCAGTGAGCTTTCTCCACGCCAACAACATTGTGCACCGAGACCTGAAGCCCGAGAATATTCTCCTAGATGACAATATGCAGATCCGACTTTCAGATTTTGGGTTCTCCTGCCACTTGGAACCTGGCGAGAAGCTCCGAGGTGAGGGGGCCTGGCGCCCTAAGAGGCTTGGGAGGGAAGGGGACCCAGGCCTGAGGCTGGTTAGCTGGGTCTGACAACCGAGTACCCAGGTATCAAGAAAAAGGGAGAAGTCAGTGAGCACTTGCCAAGTACCTTCTGTGTGCAAAGCCTTGTGTGCATCTGAGTGGGCTTCCCAGTCTGCGCGGGGGAGGGGACAGAGACAGGTGTGCAGGTCGTGGGACACAGCCAGGCAAGGGACCATGCAGGGGAAGCCAGGATGGAGGAGCGCCTGATTCAGCTGGAGGGACCTACTGAAGGAGGGGTCTCCAGAGCTGGGCCTGTCCCGAGGAAGAAGGCGGTGGAGGGGTGGGGGTGGATAATAGGCCTCAGCTGCGTGTTTGGGTTTTGGTACAGATAGGATGGCAGTGTGCTGCTTAGGTGCTAGGAAGAGCCCCATGCGGCCAGACTGTGCTGCTCCACTGGTGCACTGGGACTCACCCTGTGTGACAGCATTGTGTCACCATTGTGACAGAGATATTTTTAGTGCAAATGGAAGACTTCACAAAGTCTGACTGTGGACTCCTTAGAGCTATTAACATTGTACTTTCTGTCCCTCATTGGCTTGGCGCTGTGCTATTAACAGCTGACGCTCACTGGCACCGCACTAAGTCTTTATATAGCTGGGGTCTCTAGATCCTCTTGACCCCTCTTTGAGATAGTGTCTGGATCACCATTTGATAAATGGGCTTAAAGAGGTGAGGGGACTTGCCCACAGTCAGGTAGCTGGGACCTGAACTTGAACAGTCTGACTCCAGAGCTCATGTTCATAACCTATGGACTTAACATGTTTGTCTTGCGGATGCTGTGCTTTGTTTCCCTTTGGGCTTCCCCATACACTTTTCCCCATTCTGGAACCATCTTTGCTCCTCCCCCACACCACCCTTGCCCTTGGCTTTAGGAACTCAGGTTTCCCTTTAAAGCTCCAGGTTAGGTTAGATCCCCTGCTTTCTCTTCTTCTCCCTTCAGGACACACATCTTACTCTATTATTTCTTGTTTGCTTTCGGATAGACAGCTTGGTAAGGGCACATCTAATTTCACCAGTGTCTAGTATGGTGCCTGGTACATGGTGGGCATTCTTCAATACTTTTGGTGGGAATTAATTACCCAGAGAGTCAGGCCTATTAAGCTCTCCTGGAAGTATGGCACAGAACACAGTTGGGCAGTTGCCAAGATGGAAGATTTGGTGCGTGAAGCAGAAGCAGCTACATATAACAGGCTTGGATCAAGTCGTAGAGGGCACTGTGTTGGAGAAGTCTAGACTTGAGCCCAAGGCCGAATGGGGTGGGGGTGGGGGCAGCCAGGGAAGGATTTTAAATGAGAGACTTACCTAGTGTGTGCCTTAAGAAATCCCATAGGCCCACTCGTTCTCCTTGGGTTTGAGTGCTGATTCCACTATACAGAATAGCGATCATAGGTGGAGGAATCAATTTGAGCAGAAAGGAACATAGAAAAGAGTGAAGATTTGTTTTCCGTGTGTATTATGTATGTAAAAACGTGATAAAAGGCTGTGTAAGGGGTGGGTGGGTGGGATGGAGGCGCCAAAAGATACGGTGACTGAAGTTAGTCCAAAAATCAGATTTTCCCAGGAATACCACAAGGAATCTTGGTGGTCACTTGAGTTGTTCAGCAGGGATGGGGCTAGGTGAGCCCTCAGCGGACGGTGGGCAGGAGCAGAATGGGAACCCTTTCGGCCCTGGCAGTGTGGGGGCTCAAGCAGAGGTCTGGAGTTCGGGACCCTTGAAGGAGCTTGTGGCATCCATCAATCTCAGCCTTCTCTCCCCAGAGTTGTGTGGGACCCCAGGGTACCTAGCACCAGAGATCCTTAAATGCTCCATGGATGAGACCCACCCCGGCTACGGAAAGGAGGTCGACCTGTGAGTTTCCGGTCTCCCCGCCTCCACGCTCCTCTGTGTTCCATCGTTCACACGCCTGCCTGGCACCTCGTTCTGCCTGACTCCGCTCTCTCCCCCAGCTGGGCCTGCGGCGTGATCTTGTTCACACTCCTGGCTGGCTCACCACCATTCTGGCACCGCCGCCAGATCCTGATGTTACGCATGATCATGGAAGGCCAGTACCAGTTCAGCTCGCCCGAGTGGGATGACCGTTCCAACACGGTCAAAGACCTGGTGAGCCAAGGCTGTGAGTGGGCTGGGGAGGAGGCCCAAGCACTGCCTCTCATGCTCTGGGGTTCCCCCTAGATCTCCAGGCTGCTCCAGGTGGACCCTGAGGAGCGCCTGACAGCGGACCAGGCCCTGCAGCACCCGTTCTTTGAGCGCTGTGAAGGCAGCCAGCCCTGGAACCTCACGCCCCGCCAGCGGTTCCGGGTAAGCCTGCGAGCTTCGGGGTTGCACCTGCTCCTCTGTGCCGTGATCTTTCTCCTATGGTGGCTACTGCCCTGGAGCTCACACGGCCCCCCCGCCTCCCCACCAGGTGGCAGTGTGGACCGTGCTTGCTGCGGGACGCGTGGCCTTAAGCACCCAGCGTGTCCGGCCACTGACCAAGAGCGCACTGCTGAGGGACCCTTACGCGCTGCGGCCTGTGCGGCGCCTCATTGACAGCTGTGCCTTCCGGCTCTATGGGCACTGGGTGAAGAAGGGGGAGCAACAGAATCGCGCCGCCCTCTTCCAGCACCAGCCCCCCGGGCCTTTTCCCATCACGGGCCCTGAAGAGGAGGGGGACTCCGCTGCTATCCCCGAGGAGGATGCTGTGCTGGTGCTGGGCTAGCACTTTGGCCCCGGGGACCCCAGAGTGTAGGACTCTCCAGGAGGAGGACTTTTATCATTCCAGCCCTTCTGGGCTTTGGCCTCGGGCCTTGCCCCTCAGGCTGGCCAGGCCCACCACTGCTTGTACTACCATGAAGAACAGCCATGTACCCCTGCCCCCACCAGCCGGGGCTTTGGGGTCGGAGCAGAGGGGGAAGGCAGCCACTCGCAACACCACGCCTGGCCTCATCTGTGCTGCTTCTGCCGCATTTGCAATAAAATCTGCATGCCAGAGGGAGCCGGTGCCCAGTGTCTGGTGTCCGGCTTTGGCACGGGAGCCCAGAAGGTGCTCGGGAGCAGGGCGGGGATGGGGCTGCCATGCCCTGGGCCTTTATTGGGGAAAATGCTGGGGGTCACTTGGTCTTGTTCTTGCCTTTGCCAGAAGGTGGCTGGAAGGGCCGCTCTAGGGTGGTCAGCTTGCTGCTAAGCCGTTCCTCGCTGGCCTGGAGCTGCTCCTCCATCAGCTGTTGGAGCTTCCTCAGCTCCTTGTTCATCTGGGTCCTGATGTAGGCTTGCAGGCTGGAGACCTCGCCTGCCAGGACAGGGAAGAAGGGGCAGGTCAGCAGAGATGCTGTGCCGCTGCACCAGTGGCAGTGTAGCTCTATTTCAGGGAAAGCCAGCTATAACCCTTCCGCGGAGAGAGGTGGGGGAGCTGGCCAGCCTGGATCCTCTGGGTTGCCGATCAGCAGATAACTCCTGCCTCACCCCCAGCAGCTGCACTCTTATTACCTGTTTGTCACCTTGGACTTCTGCATAAGGAAGTATTTGGAGAAAGGACACTGTGCCTAAAACAGACCTGAAGTCCTGATGTGATCTAAACCCTTCATTTTATACCTGCCCAAAGTCACGGGGGACCCTAACCCATCCTCACTTGGCTCTGGCTCCGGCTCTGGCTGGACCCCTGTTTCTGGTTCCTCTTGTGGGCTGATGCCCTGCTCCACCTCCTCGCCGCCTTTCTCTGCAGGCCAGAAGCAGGAAGAGCCTTCAGCCCCAGCCCCAGCCCCAACCCCAGCCCCAGCATTCTTCCTTACCTGTTTCCTCCTCTGGCAAGAGCTTGGGGGGCTGTAGCCCCATGTAAGTCAAAGACAGATCCAGTCGCACCTGGGAAGGAGAAGGAGAGAGACTGAGAGGAGGACATCTGCACTGAGTGAAAGGGGGAGGTGAAGGGCGGCCTCCGTACCTGGGGCGTGAAGACATATTTGTAGAGCTTAAAGTGGCGAAAGTAGGTGTTGACCACATAATCTGCCAGGGCCAGCAGCTGTTCCTCCCTAAAGAGGTTGATACTGAAGGGGGGCCGCTGTGGGGATGATTGGGAGTGAGAGGACTGATCACCTCCAGGAACCCTGACCTTTTCTCCTGGTGCCCCTTCATGGAGGAGCAGGGAGAGCCCCCTGCAGCCTTCAGAGGAAGATGAGGGTGATGAGTGTGCGAGAGGACAGGAGACTGGGCTAGACCTTATCTGTGGGAGACCAAAGATCTCGTTTCAGGGGAACTGACCCTGACTCCATGGCAAAAAAGGACACTGATGAAGTAGCGGTAACATTCCTCCACGTTGCCCAAGGGGGTTGCTGGGAGAGAAAACAAGATGTAACAAGTGAGTCCCCTCCCGGATAGTCATTCATTTCACTCACTCAACAGCTACCTTACTGAGCATGAGCTTTGGAAGTGAACAGCTCTAAGGTTAAGTCCTTGTTTCATTAATTCACTCAACAGCACCCACAATGCACTGTTCTAGGCACTGAACAAGACAGACGAGATCCTGCCCTTAAGTAACATACAATAAAACAAAAACTACGGAATTTCAGCTCTTGTTAAACATCCCACAGGATATCAGTTCCCGGAATAAAGTGGGAGGTGAAGGAGGAGCTATTTACTAAGCATTGTCTCTATATTTGTGTGTATTACCTACAGTATTCCTCAGAACAGTCTCATAAAGTTGGTGCTGTCTATAAGGAAATGGATGGTTTCAAAGCTGAAATAACTTGTGCATGATAATGCTGCTTGTAATGACAGAACGAAGATTCCAGGTGGTAATCCACTACTGCTTCCCGTGGTCCCTTGTGCCATCCCAGCCTTCACTGTCCCCTGGGCTCAAACCCTTTGGTAGCCGCCTCCTCTCACCAACACAGGCCTTATGAAGATCTTGGAGCAGGGCACAAGCTGTCGATGTCTGTTCCAGTGAGAAGCCCTGCTGACGGCAGAAGATGAGTGCGTGGGAGAAGAGGTCTAGGGTGATGGCCTCCTTCAGGCTTTGCTCAGGACAGCTTAGCCCCAAGAGCTCAGCTAGCACCCTTGGGAGGGAGACAGGAAGGAAGAACTGAGCAGCCCCTTCACCACCCCTCACTGGTGCACCATGTATTCTGGAGCTGAGCACCCATGCCTTCCCAGCCCAGCCCTCAGCCTTCCCCAGGAGCCAGCTCTTCTGCTCTTCCCTGTCCCATCCCCATACTCCTTCATCTCCTCAGTGTTGGCTGTCTTCTCCAGCCTGTGCATGGAATGGATATCCAGGTACTTCCTGTCGTAAGACAAGAGGAGAATAGGTGTTGGTGGCCATCAGGCATTAGTCTCATGACAGGGCTGCGATGGCTAGAGCATTGGACTGGGAACCAGGAGACCTCAGCTTGAGGGTTTGCCCTTCTACTACTCTCATTGGGCAAGTCACTTCCTCTCTGGTTGTAACTTTCTCCATCTGTAAATGAGGGATATGGTGTAAAGGAACTCTTAGGATTCTCTTCATTTATAAAGCTGAGGATTAGGTAATGAGTTCTTGTCTCTGCCACTCCCTACAGCGTCAGTGTCTCCGTTTATACAACGCTCCCTAGCAGTCGGTATTGCATTTACATCTGTAGTCTTCTTCCCACCCTCCCTCTTTGGACTGGGGAGGCAGGAAGGCTGGAGATCTAGTCATCTTGGATAATTGTAGTTTCCTCATCTATCAAACGGGGAATGCCCCAGCTGTCTGACAGGACTGTTGGGGAGGAATAATGCAAGCGTAAAGTGTAGCTTTCCCCAAGATTCTTCACACTCACCACATGCAGATCCGGGGTTGGGGCAACGGGGGCTGCGGAGAGAAAACGGATTGGGCAGGCGGAGCTTTGCCGTCCCTGGCCCCAGTCCCTGACCCATCTGGAATCTCCAGCGGGCCTAAGAACCTGCTAACTTGCCTTCTCATTTTAAGGATTGTGTATGAGCAACGCTGGCAGGCCAGGCTTCGGTAGGCCCTAAGTACTATTCATGAACATTAAACAATCGGAGTCACGCACCCCTGCTTCTTCACTAAGGCACCCACAAAACGTCTGGAATGTTAATAAACATAACGACGGGTGACGCCCTGCCCGGGAGCCCTTTTACAAGCATTCATGAACGGACCACTCTGTCCCGCCCTCACCGGGAACAAGTTGGCTGCAGGATCCTCATCCGCTTCTACCGAAGCCGTGATTCTGGACTCGGTCCGCACACGTGTTACCATCCGCGTGACGGACCCATCCACTGAGTTGAGGTCCTTCTGGGGTTCCCGCTGCAGCTCTGAGGGCTGTTCACGCTCCGGCTGTATCTTCAGGACCGTGAATTGGCTGGACTTCTGGCGGATCATCTCGTCGCTCTTCCTAGGCGCGGGTCACCACAGGCTGTGTCCCGCCCAGGTCCTGGGAACGCCGGTTCTCCCGCAGTGATTGTCAAGTCCTCCCTCCAGCGACGCCTCAGCCAATCTACGCCGCAGAGAGGCCGGGTGCGGCCAATCCGCAGGGAGCGTCTCCCTCCGTCTCAACGGCGACCGTTGCTAAGGTAGTTCGTGGAGGGGAAGCAAGTATAGGACGCTCACCAATCAGTGAGAAGAGAAAGAGCATGCGCAATAAGTTTCAAGCTCCGCCCCCGTGCCCTCGCTTCAAAGTGGCTAACAGGAGGTAGGCGATGCCCTTAGGGCTGGAGGATGTGAGTGTGGTGTCAGTTGCCACGGGAACTGTCTGCTGGCCAATCACCGGGAGAAAGAGGAGGTGTTCAGGAAGAGACCAAACCGGACCCGAGAGGCGGGACAAAGCGCGACCAATAGAAACAGGAAATGAAATTTCGCCACATCCGGCATTGCCTGCGGCGCTTGCGCTGTGGGCTGAGGAGGCCGGTGACGTCCGGTGAAGTCCAAGATGGCGCTAGGCTGAGTCCGCGGCGGGTGAGGGTCCCGGGCAGGTGGGGGCGGGATCCAGCAGGTGTGTGCGGGGAAGGCTTGGGGCTGCGGAGCACTGGCTGCCTCTCCACCTCTGCACTCTGTCTTCTACAGGTGACGGAAGTGCCGCCTAAGCCCTCCTGACGTCCCTCGGGAGACCCTGCGCCGCTCCTCGCAGCCGCGGCCATGTCTGGACCCGGCAACAAACGCGCCGCCGGCGACGGCGGCTCGGGGCCCCCAGAGAAGAAGCTGAGCCGCGAGGAGAAGACCACCACCACGCTTATAGAGCCCATTCGTCTTGGGGGCATCTCTTCCACGGTTCGTGGGCCTCTACCCCAGTACTCAGAACTTGCCAGATTCCCATCTCTGTTCGCCGGAATGATCCAGAGCCTTTACTCCCTGTTCCCCAAGCTTAGCGGGATCCACTTTACAGAACACTCTGTTGAAAGAAACCGAGGACATGACGTCTGCCTTCTTTTTACAGATAGGAAAACAGGTTCCCAGAAGGCGTGTGACTTGTCAAAGACCTGAGAATTAGAAAGAGGGAGAAAAGCAGAACTTGACCCTCCGCACAATTAAGATGCTCTCTCTGTGGGTGCCTAAATGTCTTTAAATCCTGCTAGTGGTTAGTGTGGGGATACTGTCTTCTCCGTTCCAGTTGCTCTCTTTTGTCTCTCTCTGTGATTGGTTTCTTGGGCCCTGCTTGACCCTCTACTCATCCCTTTTGTTTTCCTCTGGTAGGAGGAGATGGATCTGAAGGTTCTGCAGTTCAAGAACAAGAAACTAGCAGAGCGGTTGGAACAGCGACAAGCTTGTGAAGATGAACTCCGAGAACGAATTGAGAAGCTGGAGAAGCGGCAGGCCACAGATGATGCCACGCTCCTCATTGTCAATCGCTACTGGGCCCAGGTGGATGCCCCTCTGCTTTCCAAGACCTGGCCTTGATCCAGCTGCCAGTCCTCAGACTACTGGGAAAGGAGTATCATGCTGGGAAGCACCTGAGGGATTCATAACATTTTTGGTGCTTTCTCCCTTCAGCTGGATGAAACTGTGGAAGCCCTTCTCCGACACCATGAGAGCCAGGGGGAGCTGTCTGGAGGGACAGAGTCGCCTGGAACCCAGGAGGGGCCGACACGTGATGAGACCCCTCTCACAGAGCCAGGGACATCGGACCTGAGGGGTAGGGCCAGAGCCCTAGGATCTGGGGAGCTTAATTAAGTCCTGGGAACGGTCCTGGTGAAGAGGGAACTTTTATATTAGTCTCCTGAGTTCCCCACCACCCTTCACACAGACACACACTTTGACTTCATGTTTGGATAGCAAAAAGTAGTGGTTAAGGACTCAGGCCCCAGGCTTTGGAATCTGAGTGATTTGGTTCATAGTGCATGTCAGGTTTGACACTCATTTAATTCAGAAAATATTAATATCGAGTGATAATTGTGAATTCATACTGTAACAGCCTTGGATGAGACAAAGATAAGCCAAAAAAGAAATATCGCCTTTGCCATTGGGGAGGAAGTGATTATAAACCACAAGTAAAAAGAATAGGAGCCCATGAAAGGGAATTAGTGTATGTGCACTTGTGTGTGGGTCTCGTTGAGATTGCGAAGGCAGAGGCGGCTTCCCTGAGGAATGATTTGGAAGCTCCGTGGCCTTGAAATTACTTTAGTTTCCTGAGCCTCCGTAGTTTCACTTTGATGATGGGGACACCAGTGTATTAACGGGCACGGCGTGTGTTGAATCAGTGAGCCACAGGGTGTCAAAGGGCTCAGTCTGGAACTTGGTATAGAGTGGCGGTAACTGCTGCTCTTAACCTCATGAGATCCTCATGAGGGTCTGTCCACCCCCCACAGAGCCCCTGCCCGTGCAGCTGCGGCCCCCGCTCAGTGAGCCAGCCTTGGCTTTTGTGGTAGCGCTGGGCGCCAGCAGTAGTGAGGAGGTGGAGTTGCAGCTGCAGGGCCGGATGGAGTTCTCCAAGGCAGCTGTGTCCCGCGTCGTAGAGGCCTCAGACCGCCTGCAGCGCCGGGTGGAGGAACTCTGTCAGCGAGTATACAGCCGAGGTTAGTTCTCTGTGTCCCACCGCAGAGGTATCTGTCCCTGTTTGTGTCCTGGTTGTGTCCCCTCAATGCCCGAGTCCAGGGGCAGCCATAATTCTCCAGGGAATAAATTAGCCACGTTCTTGGGAAAGTGGTAGTTAGTAGATGGGGCTCTGCCTTTGGTTCATGGGGTTGAGCTCTAGAGAGCCAGGGGGGAGGAGTTCTTGTTGCTTCTGGGGCCACTGCCTTCCAGCTGGAGACCTCTTTGGAACACTTTGCACAGATTTTAGTTGCAGTTGCTGACCCACAAGGCGTAGTAGCAAGTGTCCAGGCTTTGCAGGCTGACAGGCTCTCCCAGCCCTAGTCCTGTCATTCTGGGCAGATGGTTCTCCTCTCTGAGCTGGTTTCCTCCTTTGTGCAGTGGAGATAAAAGACTTCGGGCTTTGTCATGAGAAATTGGCAAGACAGCTGGTGGATCACACTGGGCACATAGCAGACTCCAGAATGAGTTAGTACTTTGCCCCATGGCCCTGGATTTGGCTCTTACCTGAGCCCTGCCTTCTCAGGGGACAGTGAGCCCCCCGGTGAGGTGGCTCGGGCACGCACCCGGGAGCTGGGTCGTGAGAACCGGCGGCTGCAGGACTTGGCCACCCAGCTACAAGAGAAGCACCACCGCATCTCGTTGGAGGTGGGATTAAAACCAGGGCAGGGTTTGGATTAGACGCATACGAAGGCTCTCGGGGACCCAAGTTCCCTGCTCTAAGCATCTGACCCTGTCATTGTCTCCAGTACTCTGAGCTCCAGGATAAAGTGACATCAGCAGAGACCAAGGTGCTGGAGATGGAGACGACAGTGGAGGACCTGCAGTGGGACATTGAGAAGCTGCGCAAGCGTGAGCAGAAGCTCAATAAGCACCTGGCGGAAGCCTTAGAGCAGGTGGGGCTTGGGTGCTGGGTCAGACGGAGCCACGGCTAGCCACTTGGAGCCCTTGCTTCTCTCCTCCACCCCCATGGGTCTGTCTCTCCACAGCTCAACTCTGGCTACTATGTGTCTGGGAGCTCCTCCGGCTTCCAGGGGGGCCAGATCACACTTAGCATGCAGAAGGTGAGTAGGCACCATTCTTCCAGTCCCTCCCTTTTCTCTGCCCCACCCATGAAGGTCCCCTCCAAATTTAGGACAGATATCTGCATGCTCTGAGTCCCTTCCCTGTCATTCATGCTGATCTGTTTTATTCATTGATTTGTGTATTTAGTAAGTGATTGTTAACATTAAATGCTAGGCATGGTGCTTAGAAGCAGGCACATGCGAGGACAAAAGAGACAAAAAGCAAAGCTTTCATGGAACTTGGATTATAGTTGGGGGAATAAACAAGAAGTAAGATAGTTCATCAGGTGGTTAAAGGTGCCCCAAAGGAAAAGCATAGAAAAGAGACAAACGAGGGCACTTGGGTGGCTTATTAGGTTAAGTGTGTGCCTTCGGCTTGAGTCATGATCACCAGGTCCTGGGATCGAGTCCCATGTCAGGCTCCCTGCTCAGCAGATAGTCTGCTTCTCCCTCTGTCCCTACCCTGCTCATGCACGTGCACACTGTCTCTCTCACACATGAAAGTAAATAAAACTTCAGAAAAAGGGGAGAGGGAAATGGAAGTATGTTGGAGTTGACTGGCATTCTTAGCTGGCAGGCTGAAAGAGGTGTCTCACTGAGAGGGCTGTCTCACTTGTTCACTGAACATATTTTTTGGTCCTGTGAGGATCATTGTTTCCTGTTAAGCCTTAATTCAGGTTCCTTTTCAGGTCTTTCAAGAAGGTTTTTCTGATTCCCTGTCAGTTATGAGCCTTGGTTCCCAGCACTGATCATGTAGTGTTTTCTCCCACTTATCTGGAAGTCCTTAGGAAAATGCTTGGGTTTGGCTTGTCCCTGGGGCTTCAGAATCCATTACTGCCCACCTTGGGTGGGGATGTGAGGGAAGCATGCATCCTGGCCGGGCCCTGCCTCCCACAGCTTCTCCCATTCCACAGTTTGAGATGCTGAATGCAGAGTTGGAGGAGAACCAGGAATTGGCCAATAGCCGGATGGCAGAGCTGGAGAAGCTGCAGGCCGAACTTCAGGGGGCTGTGCGGACCAACGAGCGCCTCAAGGTGGGCTCTGTTTGGGACTGGGAGGCCTAAACCTACAAGGTAGTGGCCAGGTCCTGAATCCTGTTGCTGATCGCTCGTGGGCACCCTGGCCCTAGGTGGCCCTGCGGAGCCTTCCCGAGGAGGTGGTGCGGGAAACGGGGGAGTACCGAATGCTGCAGGCCCAGTTCTCGCTGCTCTACAACGAGTCTCTGCAAGTGAAGACGCAGCTTGATGAGGCCCGGGGGCTGCTGCTGGCTACCAAGAATTCCCACCTGAGACATATTGAGCACATGGAGGTAGGGCCTTGGAGCAGACCTCAGGGTCAAGGTGTCGCTGGCCTTTGCAGCCCCTGTGTGCTGCCAGGGGTCCCTTGGGAATA